CTCTCGAGTATTTTCATGTATTTGAACGTTTGTGTTTCCTGACACCCCACAGCAGTATTGCCATGTATGTGAACGTTTGCCGTCCCTGACGACACAGCAGTATTGTCATGTATGTGAACGTTTGTGTTTCCTGACACCCCGCAGCAGTATTGCCATGTATGTGAACGTTTGCCGTCCCAGACGACACAGCAGTATTGTCATGTATGTGAACGTTTGTGTTTCCTGACACCACACAGCAGTTTTCTCGTCTATTGGAACGTTTCCTTTTTTCTGACACCACACAGCAGTATTGTCATGTATGTGAACGTTTGTGTTTCCTGACTCCGCACAGCATTACTGTCATGTATGTGAACGTTTGTCTTTCCACACGCCACACAGCAGTATTCTCATGTATGTGAACCGTTTTGTTTCTTGACACGCACACGAGCAGTTTCATGTATGTGAACGTTTGTGTTTCTTGACACCAGACAGCAGTATTGCCATGTATGTGAGCGTCTGTGTTTGCTGACACCACACAGCAGTATTGTCATGTATGTGAACGTTTGTGTTTCCTGACACCCCACAGCAGTACTGTCATGTATCTGAACGTTTGTGTTTCCTGACAGTACTCTCGAGTATTGTCATGTATGTGAACGTTTGTGTTTCTTGACTCCGCACAGCATTACTGTCATGTATGTGAACGTTTGTGTTTCCCGACACGACACATCAGTTTTGTCATGTATGTGAACCTTTTTGTTTCTTGACACCGGGCACGAGTAGTTTCATGTATGTGAACGTTTGTGTTTCCTGACACCACACAGCAGTATTGTCATGTATGTGAACGTCTGTGTTTCCTGACACCACACAGCAGTATTGTCATGTATGTGAACGTTTGTGTTTCCTGACAGCACTCTCGAGTATTTTCATGTATGTGAACGTTTGTGTTTCCTGACACCCCGCAGCTGTATTGCCATGTATGTGAACGTTTGTGTTCCCTGACACCACACAGCAGTATTGTCATGTATGTGAACGTTTGTGTTTCCTGACACCCCGCAGCAGTATTGCCATGTATGTGAACGTTTGCCGTCCCTGACGACACAGCAGTATTGTCATGTATGTGAACGTCTGTGTTTCCTGACTCCGCACAGCATTACTGTCATGTATGTGAACGTTTGTGTTTCCTGACGCCACACAGCAGTATTGTCATTTATGTGAACGTTTGTGTTTCCGGACACCACACAGCAGTATTGTCATGTATGTGAACGTTTGTGTTTCCTGACACCACACAGCAGTATTGTCATATATGTGAACGTTTGTGTATCCTGACACCACACATCAGTTTTGTTATGTATGTAAACGTTTCTGTTTCCCGACAACACAGCAGTATTGTCATGTATGTGAACGTTTGTGTTTCTTGACACCACACAGCAGTATTGTCATGTATGTGAATGTTTGTGTTTCCAGACTCGACACAGCAGTATTTTCATGTATTTGAACGTCTGTGTTCCCTGACACCCCGCAGTAGCATTGCCGTGTATGTGAACGTTTGCCATCCCTGACAACACAGCAGTATTGTCATGTATGTGAACGTTTGTGTTTCCTGACACCACCCAGCGGTATCCTCGTCCATTGGAATGTTTGTTTTTTCTGACACCACACAGCAGTATTGTCATGTATGTGAACGTCTGTGTTTCCTGACTCCGCACAGCATTTCTGTCATGTATGTGAACGTTTGTGTTTCCTGACGCCACACAGCAGTATTGTCATTTATGTGAACGTTTGTGTTTCCTGGACACCACACAGCAGTATTGTCATGTATGTGAACGTTTGTGTTTCCTGACACCACACAGCAGTATTGTCATATATGTGAACGTTTGTGTTTCCTGACACCACACAGCAGTATTGTCATGTATGTGAACGTTTGTGTTTCTAGACACCACACAGCAGTATTTTCATGTATCTGAACGTCTGTGTTTCCTGACACCCCGCAGCAGTATTGCCATGTATGTGAACGTTTGCCGTCCCTGACGACACAGCAGTATTGTCATGTATGTGAACGTTTGTGTTTCCTGACACCACCCAGCAGTATTCTCGTCTATTGGAACGTTTGTTTTTTCAGACACCACACAGCAGTATTGTCGTGTATGTGAACGTTTTTGTTTCCTGACGCCACACAGCAGTATTCTCGTCTATTGGAACGTTTGTTTTTTCTGACACCACACAGCAATATTGTCATGTATGTGAACGTTTGTGTTTCCTGACGCAACACAGCAGTACTGTCATGTATGTGAACGTTTGTGTTTCCTGACACCACACAGCAGTATTGTCATGTCTGTGAACGTCTGTGTTTCCTGACACCACACAGCAGTACTGTCATGTATGTGAACGTTTGTCTTTCTTGACATCACTCTCGAGTATTGTCATGTATGTGACCGTTTCTGTTTCCTGACACCACTCAGCAGTATTGTCATGTATGTGAGAGTCTGTTTCTCCAGACAGCACACAGCAGTATTGTCATGTATGTGAACCGTTTTGTTTCTTGACTCCGCACACGAGCAGTTTCATGTATGTGTACGTTTGTGTTTCTTGACACCACATAGTAGTATTGTCATGTATGTGAGCGTCTGTGTTTGCTGATAGCACACAACAGTATTGTCATGTATGTGAACGTTTCTGTTTCCTGACATCACACAGAAGTATTGTCATGTATGTGAACGTTTGTGTTTCCTGACACCACACAGCAGTATTGTCATGTATGTGACCGTTTGTGTTTCCTGACACCACACAGCAGTGTTGTCATGTATGTGAACGTTTGTGTTTCCTGACAGCACTCACGAGTATTGTCATGTATGTGACCGTTTGTGTTTCCTGACACCACACAGCAGTATTGTCATGTATGTGACCGTTTGTGTTTCCTGACACCACACAGCAGTATTGTCATGTATGTGAACGTTTGTGTTTCCTGACAGCACTCTCGAGTATTGTCATGTATGTGACCGTTTGTGTTTCCTGACACTACACAGCAGTATTGTCATGTATGTGAACGTTTGTGTTTCCTGACACCACACAGCAGTATTGTCATGTATTTGAACGTTTGTGTTTCCTGATAGCACACAGCAGTATTGTCATGTATGTGAACGTTTCTGTTTCCTGACATCACACAGAAGTATTGTCATGTATGTGAACGTTTGTGTATCCTGACACCACACAGCAGTGTTGTCATGTATGTGAACGTTTGTGTTTCCTGACAGCACTCTCGAGTATTGTCATGTATGTGAACGTTTGTGTTTCCTGACACCACACAGCAGTGTTGTCATGTATGTGAACGTTTGTGTTTCCTGACAGCACTCTCGAGTATTGTCATGTATGTGACCGTTTGTGTTTCCTGACACTACACAGCAGTATTGTCATGTATGTGAACGTTTGTGTTTCCTGACACCACACAGCAGTATTGTCATGTATGTGACCGTTTGTGTTTCCTGACACCCCGCAGCAGTATTGCCATGTATGTGAACGTTTGCCGTCCCTGACGACACAGCAGTATTGCCATGTATATGAACGTTTGTGTTTCCTGACACCACACAGCAGTATTGTCATGTATGTGAACGTTTGTCTTTCCTCACGTTTGTGTTTCCTGACAGCACTCACGAGTATTGTCATGTATGTTAACGTTTGTGTTTCGTGACAGCACACAGAAGTATTGTCATGTATGTGAACGTTTGTGTATCCTGACACCACACAGCAGTATTGTCATGTATGTGACCGTTTGTGTTTCCTGATAGCGCTCACGAGCATTGTCATGTATGTGATCGTTTGTGTTTCCAGACACCACACACGAGTATTGTCATGTATGTGAACGTTTGTGTTTCCAGACACGACACAGCAGTATTTTCATGTATTTGAACGTCTGTTCCCTGACACCCCACAGCAGTATTGCCATATATGTGAACATTTGCTGTCCCTGACAACACAGCAGTATTGTCATGTATGTGGTCGTTTGTGTTTCCTGACACCACACAGCAGTATTGTCATGTATGTGGTCGTTTGTGTTTCCTGACACCACACAGCAGTATTGTCTTGTGTGTGAACGTCTGTGTTTCCTGACACCACACAGCAGTATTCTCATGTATGTGAACGTTTGCGTTTCCCGACACCCCACATCAGTTTTGGCATGTATGTAAACGTTTCTGTTTCCTGACACCACACAGTAGTAATTTCATGTATGTGAACGTTTGTGTTTCTTGACAACACACAACTGTATTGTCATGTATGTGAACCTTTTTTGTTTCTTGACACCACACACGTGTAGTTTCATGTATGTGAACGTTTGCGTTTCCCGACACCACACATCAGTTTTGTCATATATGTAAACGTTTCTGTTTCCTGACACCATACAGTAGTATTGTCATGTATGTGAACGTTTATGTTTCCTGACAGCACACAACAGTATTGTCATGTATGTGAACCGTTTTTGTTTCTTGACACCGAGCACGAGTAGTTTCATGTATGTGAACGTTTGTGTTTCTTGACACCACACTGCAGTATTGTCATGTATGTGAATGTTTGTGTTTCCTGACACCACACAGAAGTATTGTCATGTATGTGAACGTTTGTGTTTCCTGACGCCACACAGCAGTATTGACATGTATGTGACCGTTTGTGTTTCCTGACACCACACAGCAGTATTGTAATGTATGTGAGAGTCTGTGTTTCCTGACACCAGACACGAGTATTGTCATGTATGTGAATTTTTGTGTTTCTTCCACTTGTCAACGCAGAATGTATTTGATCCAGTCATATTATTTTCACTGAATCATTTGACTTACTTCATATATCTCTTCACACTCAAACTACATCATGATGAGTGAGTCAGTGAGTGAGAGTCATGTCAACATAGCTACGTAAGATGAATGCGGAGACCTTAACGACTGGCCACACACGATCCCAGTTGGGGTATTAAAGGGACATTTATACATTTCTTCCTTTATTTTATAAATAGGTTATCATCTGTTTCATTACAGGCACGTCAGAGGGATGGCACTCTCCAGTCTTGACCCTGATGTAGTAGACGTAGATACCGACTGCCGTGATTTGCTGACGGACCTACATGAAAGTCCACAGCGCATGGCGCCGCGTCTCCGCCAACGCCTGGAAGCTGTACAAGCGAGGATTAGCAGGTCGGTCAGAGAGAAAACCGATCTGTATCTTGATAGACAGAACACAGAGCAACACATTGAAATGTTAGACAAACAGGACGAAATTCTTCGGGAGAAAGTCGTGATTCTGAAAGCTGAGATAGACAGACTCAAGAAGACCTGTGCTAACAGAGAACAGATTCTAACCGACGCGGAGAGAACAGAGGGAAGTTACCTCGAGTTTTACACAACCTGGGCTATGGCGGCACATATGACGGTCTTTCCAGTGTGTTTCGTCATAGGAGCGCTGCTCAATGTAATTTCAAAACGTCATGAAACAGCAAGAAGCAATGTTAAAGACGCCAGAGAACACTTGTCTTCAGCTGCACGGAAACTGGACGATACCAAACGTGTGCTGCAGGAAACCCAATGCAGTATTGAAAGTGGGCGCGATTCGAAAGGGCGTTATGAGGGTAAAGTGAAGGCATTAAAGGAACAAACTGATGGCGTCTACACCGACTTGAAAAGTCTTACCATGCAAGAAACACGCATCAAGAAACAAATAACATTGTGTTGAGAATACTCCAACAAATTCCAACACAGGTTGGAGCAGGACAGTATACCCCTCGGCCAACTGTACGAGGACATCAGCTGTTCACATGAACACATGGACATGTTGGACAAGGACGACGATGTAACAATGACGTTCTAGAAGCTCCTCTGTATCCCCAACATGAACAACGGCGTGGATACAGTTGCACTGTTTGTTTCAGTGTGGTGTAACGGTGCATTGTTTCAACTTTTGTTCGGTTGGTTTCCAAACTTAACTTGTCTGACCATTCTGCTTGTTGCCTGCATTGTGATGTTGTCATAAAGATCGTTAGGTGCTTCATAGATCGGCAGCGATTGGCTGTATCAGTCCAGATAATGACTATAAATATGATCACACGTTCGAATGGTGATCATATCATATCTCTCTCACTATGGAGTGAGCTGGAAAGCTTACTCCGCTCTTGCTAGATGATTGCAGGAATAACATTGTGCAGTGAGCGAGAACAGTCGGATGGACTAACATGATCGTGGTGGTCAGTTCGATGAACTGAGTGTCAAATGGAACATTATGGACAGTTAAATGATTAAATTTATAATGCTATCTTAGGATCGTGGCACAAGGCTGCAGACAGTGAACACATGGCCTATCATGCGGATTAACTTTAATTGATTGTAGTAGAAATAAGTATTTAAAAGAAACAGCAAGAATCATTATTAGTTATAAAATAGGTGTGTGTGTGTGTGTGTGTGGTGTATGTGTGTGTGTGCGCGCGTGCTTGTGCGTGTGCGTGCGTGCGTTGTGATTAAGGGTCTATACATTGTGGAAAGTAAATAAATTGGGTTTTTTTGTAATCCTTGTTTTGTTGTTGTTCTGGTTTGTCACACTCGCCTGTAAGTTATTAGCACCTCCCTTACAATCTCCCATGTAAGATATTAGCACCTCTCACGAAATCTCGCCTGCCAGTTGTAAGCTCCTCGCATACATCCCCATCTGTCAGTTAGTAGCCACTCCCATACAATCTCGTCTATAAGTTATTAGCACCTCCCATAAAATCTCCTTTGTAAGTTATTAGCACCTCCCATACATCTCCAGCTGTCAGTTATTAGCACCTCCCATACAATCTCGTCTGTAAGTTATTAGCACCTCCCATACATCTCCAGCTGGCAGTTACTAGCACCTCCCATACAATCTCGTTTGTAAGTTATTAGTACATCTCAGGCAATCTCGTCTGTCAGTTGTAAGCTCCTCCCATACATCTCCATCGGTCAGTTATTAGCACCTCCTATACAATCTCGTTTGTAAGTTATTAGCACCTCCCATAAATCTCCAGCTGTCAGTTATTAGCTCCTCCCATACAATCTTGTCTGTAAGTTATTAGCACCTCACATACATCTCCATCTGTCAGTTATTAGTTCCTTCAATACAATCTCTTCTGTGACTTATTAGCACATTCCAAACAAACTCGTCTGTCAGTTGTAAACTCCTCCCATACATCTCCTTCTGTCAGTTACTAGCGACTCCTATACAATCTCGTTTGTAACCTATAAGCAACTCCCATACATCTCCATCTTTCAGTTATTATCACTTCCGATACAATCTCGTCTATAAGTTACTAGCACCTCCCATACATTTCCATCTTTCAGTTACTAGCTACTCCCATACAATCTCATCTGTAAGTTGTTAGAACCACCCATACAATCTTGTCTGTAAGTTATTAGCAACTTCCATACAATCTAGTTTGTACGTTATGAGCCCATCCCATAGATCTCCATTTGTCAGTTATTAGCTCCTCCAATACAATCTCGTCTGTAAGTTATTAGCACCTCCCATACATCTCCATCTGTAAGTTATTAGCCCATCCCACACAATCTCGTCCGTCAAATGTAAGCACCTCCCAAACATCTCCATTTGTCAGTTATAACCACCTCCCATACAATCTCGTTTGTAAGTTATTAGCACCTCCTATACATCTCCATCTGTCATTTACCAGCACCTCCCATACAATCTCGTTTGTAAGTTATTAGCACATCTCACGCAATCTCGTCTGTCAGTTGTAAGTAACTCCCATAAATCTCCATCAGTCAGCACCTCCCATACATATCCATCTGTAAGTTATTAGCCCATCCCACACAATCTCTTCTGTCAGATGTAAGCAGTTCCCATATATATGAAAATGTAAGTTATTAGACCATCCCATACAATCTCCATCTGTAAGTTATTAGTTCCTCCCATAGAAACTCATCTGAAATTTATTAGCCCATCCCATACAGTCTCGCCTGTAAGTTATTAAAACCACCCATACAATCTCGTTTGTAACTTATTAGCACATCTCACGCAATCTCGTCTGTCAGTTGTAACCTCCTCCCATACATCCCCATCTGTCAGTAATTAGCACCTCCCATACAATCTCGTCTGTCAGTTATTAGCACCCCCCATAAAATCTGTTTGTAAGTTATTAGCACGTCTCATACATTTCCATCTGACAGTTATTAGCACATCGCAGACAATTTCGTATGTCAGTTGTAAGCACCTCCCATATATCTCCATCTGTAAGTTATTAGCACTTCCCATACAATCTCGTCTGTCAGTTGTAAGCACCTCCCATACATCTTCATCTGTATCCTAGTAGAACCCCCCATACATCTCCAGCTGTTAGTTTTTAGCCCATCCCATACAATCTCGTCTGTCAGTTCTAAGCACCTCCCATACATCTCCATCTGTAAGTTATTAGCTCCTCCCATTCAATCCCGTCTCTCAGTTGTAAACACATCCCATTCATCTCCGTCTGTAAAATATTAGCAACTCCCTTACATATCCATCTGTAAGTTATTAGCACTTCCTATACAATCTCGTTTGTAAGTTATTAGCACATCCTATACAACCTCGTCTGTCAGTTGTTACATCCTCCAATACACCTCCATCTGTCAGTTACTAGCATCTCCCACACAATCTCGTTTGTAACTTGTCAGCACCTCCCAAACATTTTCATTTGTCAGTTACTAGCACCTCCCATAAAATCTCGTCTATAAGTTAATAGTACCTCCCATACAATCGCGTCTGTAAGTTATAAGCACCTCCCATACATCTCCATCTGTCAGTTATTAGCACCTCCAGTTATGAGCACCTCCCATACAATCTCGATTCTAAGTTATTAGCACCTCATATGCATCCCCATCTGTAAGTTATTAGCACCTCCCATACATCTCCATCTGAGAGTTATAAGCACATCCTATACATCTTCAACTGTAAGCTAATAGCCCATCGCATACAATCTCGTCCGTCATTTGTAAGCTCCTCCCCATACATCTCCATCTGTAACTTATTCGCTCCTCCCATACATATCCATCAGTAAGTTATTAGCCGATCCCAAACAATCTCGTCTGTCAAATGTAAGCACCCCCCAAGCATCTCTACTTGTCAGTTATTAGCACCTCCCATACAATCTCGTTTGCAAGTTATTAGGACATCCATGCAATCTCGTCTGTAAGGTATTAGCACCTCCAATACATCTGCATCTGTCAGCTACTAGCACCTCCCATACAATCTCGTTTGTAAGTTATTAGCACCTCCCATACATCTCCATCTGTAAGTTATTAGCTCCTCCCATACCATCTCGTTTGTATGTTATTAGCACCTCCCATACATCTCCATCTGTAAGTTATTAGCAACTCGATATACATCTCCAATCTGACAGTTATTAGCACATGCCATACAATCTCGTCTGTCAGTTGTAAGCACATCCCATATATCTCCATCTGTAACTTATTAGCACCTCCCATACATCTCCATCTGTATGTTACTAGCACCTCCCAGAGCTTTCCATCAGTAAGTTATTAACTTATCCCATACAATCTCGTCTGTGAGTTGAAAGTTCCTCCCATACATCTCCATCTATAACATATTAGCCCATCCCATACAATCAGGTCTGTAAGTTATTAGCACCTCCCATACATCTCCATCTGTAAGTTATTAGAAACTCCCATACATCTCCATCTGTATGTTATTAGCACCTCCCATACATCTCCATCTGTAAGTTATTAGCAACTCGATATACATCTCCAATCTGACAGTTATTAGCACATGCCATACAATCTCGTCTGTCAGTTGTAAGCACATCCCATATATCTCCATCTGTAACTTATTAGCACCTCCCATACATCTCCATCTGTATGTTACTAGCACCTCCCAGAGCTTTCCATCAGTAAGTTATTAACTTATCCCATACAATCTCGTCTGTGAGTTGAAAGTTCCTCCCATACATCTCCATCTATAACATATTAGCCCATCCCATACAATCAGGTCTGTAAGTTATTAGCACCTCCCATACATCTCCATCTGTAAGTTATTAGAAACTCCCATACATCTCCATCTGTAAGTTATTAGCACATCACATACAATCTCGACTGTCAGTTTTAACCACCTCCCATATATCTCCATCTGTATGTTACTAGCACCTCCCATAGATCTCCATCTGTAAGTTCTTAACCCATCCCATACAATCTCGTCTGTCAGTTGTAAGCTCCTCCCTTACATCTCCATGTGTGAGTTATTAGCTCCTCCCATACAAACTCGTCTGAAAGTTATTAGTACCTTCCATACAATCACGTCTTCAAGTTATTACTGCATCCTATACATCTCAATTTGTCAGTTATTAGCTCCTCCTATACAATCTCGTCTGTAAGTTATTAGCACCTACCATACATCTCCATCTGAAAGTTATTAGCCCACCCCAGACAATCTCGACTGAAAGTTATTAGCACCTCCCATACAATCTCATTTGTAAGTTATTAGAATATCTCACGCAATCTCGTCTGTCAGTTGACAGCTCCTCCCATACATCTCCATCTGTGAGTAAATAACCCCTTCCATACAATGTCGTCAGTAAGTTATTAGCACCTTCCATAGAATCTCGTTTGTATCTTATTAGCGCCTCCCATACAATCTCGTTTGTAAGTTATAAGCACCTCCCATACATCTCCATCTGTAAGTTATTAGCCCACCCCACACAATCTCGTCTGTCAGATGTAAGCAACTCCCATACATCTGCCTCTGTAAGTTATTAGACCATCCCATACAATCTCATCTGTCACTTGTAAGCAACTCCCATACATCTCCACCTGTATATTTTTAACACCTCCCATACATCTCCATCTGTAAGTTATTAGCCCATCCCATACAATCTCGTTTGTCAGTTTTTACCTCCTCTTATACATCTCCACCCGTAAGTCATTAGCACCTCCCGTGCATTTCCATCTGTAAGTTATTAGCACCTCACATACAATCTCGACTGAAAGTTATTAGCACCTCCCATACAATCTCATTTGTAAGTTATTAGAACATCTCACGCAATCTCGTCTGTCAGTTGTCAGCTCCTCCCATACATCTCCATCTCTCAGTTATTACCTCTTCCAATACAATCTCGTCTATAAGTTATAAGCACCTCCAATACATCTCCATCTGTAAGTTAGTAGCACCTCCCATACGATCTCGTCTGTAAGTTATTAGCACTTCCCATACATCTCCATCTGCCAGTTACTAGCACCTCCCACACAATCTCGTTTGAATGCTATTAGCACATCTCACGCAATCCCGTCTGTCAGTTGGATGCTCTTCCAATACATGTCCTTTTGTAACTTATAAGTACCTCCCATACAATCCCGCTTGAAAGTTATTAGCAAGATCCATACAATCTCGTATTCAAGTTGTTAGAGCATCCCATACATCTCAATTTGTCAGTTATTAGCTCCTCCCATACAATCTCGTCTCTAAGTTATTAGCACCTACCATACATCTCCATCTGTAAGTTACTAGCACCTCCCCCACAATCTCGTTAGT